CGAGCGTGCGCCAGCGCCGCCCCGCCTGGTCCCTCTGGAAGCCCGCCGCCGCCGTCGCGGGCAAGCCGCTCTCCTGGCCCGACTGGCTGCTGCTCTTCACCGTCGGCGTGCAGGACGACGTCGGCATCGGCTCCGTCACCCTGCTGATGCTCATGACGAGCCCCCTGGTCTGGGGCCTGCTCGGCTACCACGTCTACCTGATCTACTGCGGCACCACCACCAACGAGAGCATGAAGTGGCAGGACTGGCAGGCCGAGATGGCCGAGGGCTGCGCGTTCAAGCGGGCGCTGCTGCCGCCGTCGCCGTCGCCTGCGCCGTCACCTGCGCCCGCCGACGACCGCCAGAGGAGGAGAGGGAGCCCCCGCGCCACCGCCACCGCTGCTGCCGTCGGGGTGCCCCGCACCCGCACTCGCTGGCCCGTCGAGCCCGTGCAGGTGCTGGTGCGGACGGAGAACGGGCGGCCGCCCGCCGTGACGTCCGGCCCCGGCGTCGGCGACTGGGAGCGTGTCTGGAAGCTGCGCGACGTCGAGAACCTGTACGACCTCGGCTTCTGGGACAACCTGATCGACGTCTTCGTCCCGGACTACCCGTTCCGAGACGAGGAGGAGGATGATGACGACGACGACGACGACGACGGTGGCGGCGGCGCCGAGAAACCGATGGGTAAGCCTGGGACGATGACGTCTTCGGATCTCGAGACGGGTAGTAAGAACAAGCGGAAGACGAGGAGGAATATGAGGATCAAGGTGAAGAAGACGAGGAAACCCAAAACGTCGGCGGCTGCGAGCTTAGTGAATGCGGCTACGTGATAGATAGACAGCCAAACTATATAGATCGACCAATATTTGCTTTCGGGTGAGGAGCCCCTCAGCTACGCCCCTTTTTATGTGCATTGACTTTTCTTGGACTTCCATCATGTGTAACTGATGGATATGATCTACGATGTGTGATAGATATATATATACAAGTGCATGATAGGGAGATGCATAGCGTACAATGATGTAAAGTGATACATGTGTGGATGTGCAAGACCTGGATAGTATACCAGGCCGTTGCACTATGTCGCCGGTATTGAGCCTCCTACACCGACCAACCAACAAATACAATAGCTGTGCTGGGTAGCCTCTCAGAAGGAGGCAGTCGGCTGGCTTGCCCTACCACCACCACCCTTGCCACCCTTACCGCCGCCCTTACCACCACCCTTACCGCCACCCTTACCACCACCCTTACCACCACCCTTACCAGCATCACTTCCCGGGTCGATTTTCTTCAGGAACTCAGCCTCAAAGGGATCAATCACTTTCTTTACCTCCGGTGGCTTCTGGGCACCACCTCTGCCCTTACCCTTGTTGTTGACCTTGCCGCCACCACCACCACCGCCGCCCTTGTTGTTGCCCTTGCCCTTGCCCTTGGCAGGGCCGTTGGTTTTTGAAGGAGCTGCAGCAAGGAAACCGTCATCTCCCTCGAAATCTACGTTTCCGTATTCGTTCATCAATTCCATGTCATCCGCGTCCATTTCCCATTGCGCCCCCCTACCCGGCTCCGGCATCTCATCGTAGTCGTCTTGCTCTTCCATTTTGTTTGGTCCTGCGCTTGCCTCTCGAGCGCGGAATGCCCTGGCTTCCATCTCCAGCCTCTCCTCCTTCACCGCCTTGATCTTCTTTGCCTTCCCGGGAAACCGCGCCCGCTCTTGCATCAGAAGCCTTTTCTCCCTGCGAATCTTCTCAGCCCTGTTCTTCTGGTGCCTGATACTCTGAGTTTCAAGCGCTAGCTTCCTCTCCCTCACGCGGTCACGAGGCTGGTCTTGGCACTCCTTCAGTTCCATCCAGAAATTGTGCAGTTCAGTCCGCATCCTCTCAGATTCGGGCGTTTCATAAAGGGAGGTAGCCGGATAGGAAGAAAATTCGGTATTGCTTTCGGGATGCATATTGTAGGCCCTGGAGGACGCATGGAACGCGCGCGCTTGCAGGGTGGAGAAGGTATTGTGGGAAGGCGAGTTGAGGATATAAGCGTCTGTCATGGGCCTCTTTGGGCCTTGGATATTATTCTGATGTTCCAATGTGCGCTCCGTTTTTGCCACGGGCTGCGGACTGGCGTTTTGTTGCGAGTCGGAAGTAGGGTGGGTTTTACTTGGTGCATACATTAGTAGTTCATCGAAGGACACAATCTTCCCTCCCCATTTCTTATCTCTCTCCTCTTTTGGTTTTGTATCTTGCACCAAGCCTGCCAACCTCGCAACCGCCAGCCGTGCTGTTGTGACCGTAGCGCTCAGAACCGCGTGGTCGTGTGAGCCAACAGCAGTGACATACAATTCCCGATCCCAAGACCATTTGTTATCGGCCTCGAGTCTCTGTTCAACGTCGCGAATCCCACCCAGCAGCTTCGAAATGGTGTCGCGTAGTTTGTCCGGTGACCTAACCTTGTCGGCCTTGGTGAGTACAAAAGCAGTGCGTAAACCAGCTGTAGCCAAGAGTGTTAAAGCGTGTAGGTCGGTATCTTTTGGCCCAACCTCCGCATCAATCAGAAGAACGGCGCCCTTGACAGCGGACCTCTTAGTCAAGTAGAGGCTGATGTTCTTACCCCATTCCTGAAGAGAGGCAAAGCCGTACCCAGGCATATCAACTAGATAGAACGTGTGCTTGGGAAGATCCTCCTTGCCCTTGTACTGGGCACCTGTGAGCTCCTTTGGCAACTGGGGCGGAGGGCCGAACCCATAGGCATTTATGGTGCGCGTCTTGCCGGCCCTCTTGCTGATGTGGGCCAGTTCGTTGGTCTGGCGATTTGCAAGTGCGTTGACGACAGATGACTTGCCGACATTGGACCGGCCTAGGATACATATCTCGGGTATTCGAGTGTTCTTCTTGAGGTAGTAGAAATCCTTGTTCCCGTAGTAGAAGGTGGCTGGATTCTTGGTGAAGAGGCTTGCCAGGCCTTCGTCCAGCAGCGTACCGGGCGGCGCATTGGGTATAAGCGAGGATTCGTAGAGCTGTTCGGGAGTGATCTCGGTTGGCTGGGAGGTTCGAAGCTCGGATATTTGGAAGGCGGCAATGTTAGTGCATGACACCTTGGCGGGTTGCGAGGGCGATGACGAGAACTGTCGTACGCGCGTCGCACTCGCTACCAGCAACGGTCGCCTGGAAGCTGGCGTTGCCAGAAGGGCCGAGAGCTGACGGCTATATATCATGGCCATCTTCGTTACATTGACGATGGTGATTGGTGAATTGGTCTCTGGCTTCTGCTCATGGGCGCAGAACACAGATTCTTGGGACAACTCTTGGAGGGGAGGATAATTCTCGATAATGTGATGCCGAGACACGGCGGGGACTTGGAATATAATTTGTCTCCGTCTTTATCTTATCTTTGATAAGACATCCCTGCAGCGCTGTTATCCCACCATGCAGGTGCTGCCCAGGTGCCTTTTGGTGCATATCGATATGACATAGTCAGTAGACTGGGTAATTACATGTAGATGCCTAACTAAATATAATTACGAAGTGCGCATAATCGAGTATTAATCTTTCACATGTGAGTTGCTTCGGAAGTTCAAGGTTGCGAACCAAGTTCAAGCGGTGCAAACACTTTCTACCGCGCAGGCCCATTTCCCATCTCCCATCTCCCATCTCCCATTGCGCATTCCCCATTCGACATTCGCCATTCCCCGCCATGTCGTCCAATCCAGCCAAGCTGCGGTCCCTCTACCGCTCTATTCTACGGGAGCTCCCACCCAAGCCGCAAGCCGCCCCAGGCACGAGATCCCCACTGCGCCAACGGCTACGGCAGAGCTTCGCAGACGAAAGCGCCCACCCTCTCGCGCCGGCTCAGGCGGATCAGTTCGTGCAGTATCTCCGGTCGCAGAGGCAGTACACCACGCTTCTCGAGCGATATAACCCCGGCATGGGCATGGACGAGGAGGAGCGCGTCCGGTTGACAGCGAAACGAGTCGGGATGGATCTCCCCATTGAGTATGGAGGGACCAAGGAATGAGGCATGGCTGTATATGGAGCACTACGAGCGGGGCCGGCCACGTCGATGGATGGGATGAGGTCAGGGACATTCGCCAGAGTCCATGGTGGCAATGCCGTGCGTGCGTGCGTGCCTCGATGAATACGCCTACGAAGCCCCGCGATCTTCCGTCTCTCGTTCTCGAGAAGCGCAATACCAGCACTATGAGGGACATACATACAGCATCAGTCGCGGTTGGAGCAAATCAGGGACACCGACCCCAGTGTTATCGATCGAGTACACCGTCATGGCCTTGACAAGATAGCTTCAAGTCATTCTGACGGCCTTGACCTTGCGCGTTCTAGCTGGGGACGCGGTATCACGGCATACTCTCTAGCAGCGAATCCACGGATTGTTGGCCTTTGCTGTGGAATTAGGTTTCTTGCAGACGACCTAATCGAGCCGAAGTTTACAACCGATACAGACGGGCAATCATGGATCATGAAGTTAGCAAGGACATCGCATTTCTCCCTCCACCTGAATTAAGGGTTTGGTTCATCTGCATTATTTGCTAGTATCTCGTCCTCAGTAACACAATTGTCATGATCAGCTACAATACGGCGTTTACCTTAGGTACTCTATCGATCGACATGTTGTACAACAGAATGGGATATCTTGTTATCATGAAACATCGCACATGAAAAGTCTGCGTGAGATAGGTAAATAGTTTTGTAGTACATATGTAGTATATACGCGCATTTGTGTATTAGCCACCGGCAAGTACTTCGTACAAACAACCAACCCTTAATTAAGAGTTACCTTGCTGCAGCTATGCAGGCAATTGCCCCCTAGAAGCCCGGGAGCTAAGAAAGTTTCTTGTATTGGCCGGGCCGCTTTTCAGGGACAGGCCGGACTCTTGTTACCTAGGTACCATGGCGTTCACATGCTTTTTCTCTCATGGACGGACAGATATTCAAAAAGCAAAAATTTAGATATAAAAACGAAAAGAATCATGAGCGATGATTCCAAACATCAAAGATCCGACAAAAAGAATTGTTTGCCCATTACTGGAGTCGAACCAGTCGCCTCCTCATAGCGAGGAGGGAACAAATCATGTTCCTGTTACTAGTGAGGCGCTCTACCGCTGAGCCAAACGGGCATCTCGTATTCCGAGTTGGAATTGGATGGTGGATCAGTGGATCTTGATGTTGATGGTTGCTAAAGTGGCTTTATATAGATATGAGCTAGCTGACTGGTGGGGTAATTGACGGTGACGCTACATCTCCTGACCTCTCAACAATATGTAACTATGAAGTACAATACCGTGCCATACCTACCTAGGTACTAATTCTGTAAGTGGCCAAGTTATAATTCGTAACTGACGTTGTTACAACTGCTTAATTAGGTGGTAGTCACCAAAATCAGCTGTGGTTATTTGCAGTTGGCTACCTGGCTACATAGCTACAGTAGAACCACATAGCTTTTTCGTTCAAGAATCATATCGCCAAGGAAGCTCAGGCCATAGCTACGGTAGTCATTTCAACGATGGGCAGCAGGTACGATTCATATTGTCATGACAAAAAAGCAAGTTGTTTTTGTTGTTGTAAAGACATCAATTCATGAGCTGTCGTATATATCCCTAGGATATCATGCATTGTCCTCTCCTCCACCCTCCCAGCGGCGACACCTGTTTACGAACCAACCGAAGCAAACTCCAAAGTCATCTCCAATGGCCTCCCTCTAATGCTTGATTTTATTGTGTTGATGCCAAATTCCGCCAATTGGGACACAGTTCCTTGTGGGTTCCTCTGCAATACGCCAGAAAACGCCGGTGTATGCACCAAGCCTGTATGTATCGACTATAGAATGGTGCCAAATCTGTGTGGCCGTTAGATGCATAAACAGACACGGATGTTTTTGTCGACAAGAGTGTAACTCGACTTACCCAAATGTCAGCTTGATGCTTCTCACGTAATACTCGCTCCAGTTCCGCTTCGTCACCTCCTCCTGGCCAACGGGCACCCCGGACCACGTGACCCGCATCACAGTCACGCCGTCGACATCGTTCTGGTCGAATTCGATGACCTGTCTGGAGTAGTGGCCAGCGGGCCACTGGTTGAGCCGCCATGATTGGACAATCTTAGTAGGTTCTACGAGTTCTAGAAATTCGCCAGCAACGTTGCCATCGAAGAGCTCGAACTTGCCACCCTCCTTAGCCCCCTCGAATGTCTTGGGAGGGGCGCGAGTGAAAGCGGCGAGGCGTTGCGGATCAGTGAAGGTCTTGTACAGCTCGGCAGCGGTTGTGCGGAACTCTTCCTGGTCCGTTACTGTAGTGGTGTTTACTATGCTACCGCCATTGCGCTGTGCGGTGGTGGCAGCAGACTTCTCAGCGGATTTGCCAGTAGGGGGATGGTACTTGGGAGTAGAGAGTCCACTAGAAGGGTTCGAGCCAGCGGCATGCTGAATATCCTTGCCATGTTCGGCAATCAAGGCAGGCGAAAGCTTCAGAAACTCCTTTCGTAGCTGGGGCACAATCTTGGACCGGACGAGGTCTTTCACAACTTGCTTCTCCTTGGACTCGGAATAGATGTCGATCTCGAACTGACCATCTTATGTTAGTGGGTTTGGGATTCTTCCACTCTACGTTGAGTTCTCTACATACGACAAATTCATCCTCCTCGGTGTCATGAGCAACCTCCGGTACAGTGATGGTGCCAGAGACGTCCTCTTCACCGGGAGCTGCTCCAGAGTATTCTAAAACCAGCTTGACATCGTAAATGGTGATGACCTTTCCCTTCCGCTGGTTGACATCAACATCGCCGTCCATGCTAATGACCTTTGTGATCTTAGCGCTGACATCTCCATCTTCAGCCGATACGCCGGTCAGTGTCTTCCCGAACCATTGCTGGGTCCATTCCCCAACGGGCTTGCTGACCCAATGCCAATTGTTCGGGTTATGGAGCGCCATTGTGTTGTGATTATCTAATTGTGATTTGGCTAGGAACCTTAGGACAGAAGGGTGCAAAGTTTGATACGCGAGTCTACCTTGAGAATTGATTTGCGGTTAGCAGCTGTTCTCAAGTCCGGATATACCGAGACGAAATGTTCAAGGAACAAAAAAAGAATAGTGAGTCAGATAAGGGTCTGGTGGACCACAGCATTTGGTCATCAATGAAGGGAGTACAAGTCACTCTATGACTGGTGCCAGCTGGTATATCATCATGATAGGATATCGGGTTGGAATGAATAGCTACAAAGTAGGAACGAAGCAAACTTACAGTGTGTGTATGTGGGTGAAAATTCAGTCAACCCGATGTGCCTGAGGTAGTTAGCAGGCCAGGTAGGTACTGTAGATCAAGACTCAAGTTCTTGAACTACAAGAAGATGCAATCGCGTGTAGCAGGAAGAACCAAACGTGACGATTTGAGAGGAAGTAGAAATGGGAAGAAGAAGAGACGCAGGGCACGAGGCCGACAACGTCGTCTCAAATCTTCAACTTATGAGGAGGAAGGACGGGAATGAGATCGAAGCGAAAGAATTGCAGAAGCCTCTAGAACCAATAAGACGAGGCTAGGCTGACTCTGGCCTCTGCTTAACGGGGCGTAGGGCAATCCACCTGTAGAAACTATGGCATCCCATTGGTTACAACCCTGCAGCCCCTGCAGCTTCCAAGATTGCTGGGCAGCTCCTGCAAGCAAAGCTTCGGCAACGGGAAAAGGAATGCGCCGACAAAGTGGGATCCACAAAATTCTGGACCACAACTGCAGGTGGAGAACTTGGAAGATTCTTGATGGAGGGGTAGGAAGCGGGGCTGAGTCAGGGCCTACATACGACTTCTATCTATCATTGGAACTGTGCAATGGATGTAGGTACGAGGCAAAAGTAGGCAAGTAGGCAAGTAGGCAAGTAGGCAAGTAGGCAAGTAGGCAAGTAGGCAAGTAGGCAAGTAGGCAAGTAGGCAATAAGTTAGCTTGCAGTTACATCTGCTAGGTGTGATATTGATTGTCCTTAGTTTCTAGCACCACTAGACCCTAGACCCTTGATGTGACTTCGAATTGATTGATCGATCGATCTCACACATGGGCTGGAATTAAAAATGTATTAAAAATGTACCTCATATAACTATGAGTGGCCATTTTAGGCAAGGATGCCACTGTCTAATCGAATTACGACCTCAACTATAGGTGCAGTTAAAGGATATCTAGGTAGAAAGTTGGGCGACTGGAAGTGGTGATTTGACGACCATTGGCGCTGGTAAATTCATCGAAGTTGTGGAAAATAGCTGTGATAACGTGATCAGATGCGTATAGGGGAAGCATGATACCACGTCAACAGGTTTACATATCTTCCTCACCACAAGGCATTTCCAACTCAAGGTATCTTAGGTAGACTCTTAGGTAGACAGACAGGGGGTATAGTAGTCGAGTCGTTAGGTACCTGGTTCCCAAGTTGTGTCTTTCCAGGTCCATCCACCGACTAAAACAGCAGTTCTATATCGGTTGTCACATGCACAAGCCATGCTTCAAAAACCTCCACCCCACGATATGCTTTTGATAATATGTCTTGGGACAGCTTTTCTAAGTTTACTCCTATCATTTGACACTCGACTAAGTGCATTGTTCACTTGTTCATATCTGTAAGTGGATGCACCTAATAGCCCGTCACCTCTGCTGGTTGGCAACCGTACTTGCTACAGACGTATGCGCCTGCTACCATTACCTTGTTACCTTGTGACCATATCATTCTAGGCTGGCTAGTTATAGCGGCACCAGGAGCTATTTTCTACACCGGGTTGCAACGGACATGGCCAAGATGGCCCTCTCATGCTCTTCAGTATGTGTGAAGATTCCTTCTTCAGAGTAACACGGCATGATAAGTTACTTATATATAGTTATCTGGTAAACAAATAGTTGAATTCCGTATGTGACGCTCAGCAGGTAGGTATACATACATTTGCTAACAATATGAGCGGTATTTATATGTACCTAGCCAGGTATGTATCTACACAGTCGATCACCTTTGACGGAAAGATAGCCCCAAGATAGCCCCAAGACTTTCACTTTTCTATTTTTAACACTTTCTGGCCGAAGTCTCATCCGGCTCCAAACCTCTGGGTCTTGATCCCGGACCTACGCATATATTCATGTATGTACGAAGGTAACGGCGTAGGCTGTGGGGGTCCAGTCAGCTTGCTACTTTCCTCCTTTGCTTGGTTGGCGGACGTTGCTCTGAATCCGGTGCCCACCGCTTCCGTCTGCATGTGTAGATCCATGGCCAACCGGATCGATATAGGCATATAACAAACGATGTCGATGCTCAGGCCTGTATCTAGATTTTCTAGATTTGAGAGCTACATGCTCTCATTTGCCCTGGCGTCATTGCCGCGTGGTGCGAATCGATGAAGATGACTACTACTATTTCCTGCTACCAGGTTGATATGAAGTGGTATTATTTGCGATATATATATATAACTCGACTCGGCCTGTTGGCTTAGCACAAGAAATCCAGTTCCAAATGTTGGCCAGTTTGGGGACCATCACATATAAGGCATTGAAGATCTGCACCCCCAACTGCCTCCTATATGCCCCTCGCCGGCCGCTTCCCGAGTTCCTTCCGACATCCTTGCCTGTATATACAGACAGACAGACGGAAGCGCGAAGGGTTACTTCGCATCGAAGGCATCAGCCACCACAAGGAAATCCCTACCACGTAGTACCTAGTATTCAGAAGCTAGTGTTCAGAAGCTAGTGTTCAGACCGCCTACGTTCAATAAGGTTATAGGGAAGCAAATATGCAGAGAGGGCGTTTCAGTCGCTGACTGATACCTATGGCTTAACAAGTCAGATCAGTATTAAGTGTCCGCGTAGCCTCCTGTGCATTGTGCTTGAACATAGGTACCCGGGCACCATCGAAGTCCATGTTATTCTATTTAAACATTCCTCAGCACAACGCTCAACAGGCATGCGATCATGCAATGCAGATGTATGTGAGTACCTATCTAGTAGGTAGTTGGGTGTAGTGTCGTAGGCAAGTGTATAGTAGGTATAGCGAGGGGTTAGCAGACGTTGGACATACACCTGCACACCTGCACACCTGCACACCTGCACACCTGCACACCTTCCCACGCGTTGACACGGGAGAAACACTTGAGAAACACTT